GATGTCGTAGGGGTGACCACAGAATTCATGAAGGTATTCTAAGAATTGGCTGGTATGTAGTGCACGAAAGCAGAGCTTAGCTGGGCCAAAAAAAAATATTTATGGTCATCCATCGAAACGACCACCAAGGTCAGTACGATAAAATGGCGTCAACTGGAGCGATAATACATGAAGGAATGAGTTCTTTTCCCCCCCACACACACCAGTATCGTCATAGGGGGTGACCACAGTGTTCTGCCTTAATTCGTGACGTTTTTCTAAGAACTGGGTGCTATGTACTGTGCGAAATCAATCGATCTTGCAAGAATAAATTTTTGGACATCCCTCTTCTAAGAATTCCAATTGAGTGTGTTAGTGTGGCCAGCTCAGGGCAATATGATATTATAAACACAGCACATATCACGTCTCTGCTGTTTATAACTTCATAGCAAAGAAAACACGCCATTCATAACAGTAGAACGAAGAAACCGCTCGCAAGAGCAACAGGAACTTTGCTGCAAGACAGGCATATGTAACGATGACTTAGTGCAGATAAAAGTCGTGGCTTATTATACTCTGTTCTTGTGACAACAGGCCAGCGAAAAATCTAACAATCTACAGCAAAACCATCAATTATTATGGGCGTTATAACATAGGTGTGCAGCTGGACGAAACATACATGTCGAACCCCCCCAGACGATTTAAATACCTGACGAAACATACACGTCAAACCACGCTGAACAGTTAAAGAAATATTTTGGTTGAGTATTTGTTGTAATGCCATTGAAGCTACTAATGCAACATTTATGTCCTTCAATATAAATTTTCAGCAATTCAGCTCTTAGCTCTGATCAAATGGTTACAGGTCTAACAATCAATTCCTTTTAAAGATATACATCTTATCAGCTTTCATTCTGGTATCATCAATCACAAGTATGACGTACCTCAAAGTTAGCGCCCCGTTTGAGAAATCTTGTGCCAGCATATCTGTTTGAACGGCGAGCTATTATGGTCACATACATAGAGCGGCCATATATACATATGTTAGACTGGCCAACAAAGCCATGTGTCACATAAAGTATCCAATCAGGATGGAGAGTTCCTTCTATTTTCTCCAGAAGATGGGAATTCCACACAAATCGCCTGTGAGGCTTATTGCGGACCCCATAATCTACTGTTTTGTTCTTGCTGTGATTAACATCATTAACATCAGGCCTGCCAATGAACAAAATTTAAATTAATTTATCTTACAATATGTGCAAAGACAGAATTATTTGGGAACTCACAAGACAATATGTGCAACATCTTCTATAAAAATTGTCAAAAACATCTAAATTCAATAAAGCAGCTTGTAGCCCACTTAAACAACAAAAGAACAAATTTCTTAATGTACTGTACATATTTCCATCAAAGAAAAATGAATACTTTTTTATAATGTTTATATTCACCCATGCAAATAATGTAGTAACCTACCAACAAGCCCTTAAGAGAACTCTGAAATCACAACTCTACAAAACATGAACATTATGAACTTGAAACATTCTGGATACTGAAATGAGATGAAATAATTATTGGATTACGCATATTAAAAGAATGAATGTATGTTTATAAAATACCTAGAAGAGCCCTGGAACAACATGGAAATGTTAACAGAAATGGTTTACACAAGTGACTCACAGTATTAATGACAGATGAAAAGTATGGACAGAGGGAGAGAGACAAGGAAAAAAAATATGGGGTGCCAAGAGATAATTACTGGCTTTTCATTTATGCATCCACATTTCACTGAAAATAATTATACAAGACGGAAGAAGAGTTTAACTAACTTTTATACATTCTACATAAGTAAGATAGTGAAAAATACTCTGTAGGAAAATCACGTGTTTTCCATCTTTCCATAGCCTATATCAGCCCGCTGAGGAATGGAATCTGATGAAATGTTATTCTTCCATGCCTTAATTCTCAGCATGGTGTCAACAGCAGTGATTTTGTACAAGAAATGAAAAATGACAGGATTATGGGGAGTTTAGGCGAGAAAATCTGATATTGTACCATACGTGACGAACGAGCCTGCATGAACCAAACCAACCTTGGTCTCCATCTCCCCGTCTATGTACCTGCAGCACATACACCCCCCTTCCACCCATTTCTTCCCATGACCTTCCATCCTTTGTTGAGGCTTATCCCTGGGCCTCAGGAAAATTGCTTGCAGAGATCATGAATATGAAGGTATACTCTAAATTATCTTAGGGATCTATATTTCAAGTGTTCTGCCCTTTTTCTATTCCTGGGTGAGCAGCTGGTCCATGCGCCATCTACCAAGGTAAGTTCTGCTGTGTTCCCCATATGTGGAGATGTGCCTCAAGGTGGTAGATGCAAGGACCACTTTGGATTTACTAGCTTTCATTTATACTGTTTCACTTTCTACTATTTGTATTTTTGATTTGTTCCTGATATATTCACTTTGTTCTGGGCTATGCTGTATTTTATTTATGTCTCCTTTAAAAAAACACACACATACAAACACAATGTTAAACACAGATATTCACGCACGTAAACTACACGACTAATAATAAGAACATGCAATCAAGAGAAATAAACGACATCTCCCATCATCAGGAGGAAAACAACATGACCCAAGTTGGCTCATGATATTTTAACATAATAAACAATTTTTTACATACAAAAGAAAATTGTAATACAATTTTAAATACATTGGGAGGCTACTGTATGGAAAAGTGAACATCATATCGCGTGCAGTGGAAAATCTCAATCAGAATACCCAGCAAATACACTTAAAAGAAACGGCATCATATGTAAATCTACACTTCAAGAAGCGTCATCGTGAATGCCTAAGACAAACATCAAAACTAACTGTGATAATAACAAAATTTATATAGTGAGCACTATTCATAGCCTAAGTGCATATTTTTAAAACATCTTATGTGACAGTGTTTCCTGATCATAGTGGCGCGCCTCTGAGGATGATTCTTTTGAATCGAAACATGTAAGGTGAATAAAGACTGAAGTGTTGTAAACTTGTATGTCACACTGGACTTGAAAATTATCCACTTTGTACTAAAATAGTTCTTTGTGGTGATATAAATGTTAATTATCTAACTGATAACAACAAAAAGAAGAAAATGGATTTGTTATTAGCTCCAGTCAATTTATCGAGTATAGTGAATTTTCCAACAAGATCACAAAATGGATCTGCAAATGCAATAGATAATATATTTACTGATGCGTCTCTGCAGGGGAATTATGCAATATATCCCTTATGTAATGGGCTTTCTGATCATGATGTGCAATTAACTGTTTTAACAGAAGTTAAAGAGTTTATTAAGAATGGGAATGTCAAGGGGAAAAAACAATAAGGAAAATTGATCAGGCTACTGAGGTGGATTTCAAATATAAATTGAGTTTTGAAACTTGGGGCTCAATCTTTGGTGCTAATGACATAAATACAATGTATAATTCTTTTCTTAACTTATTTCTCAGAATATTCTATTCAAGTTTTCCTCTACAAGAACAGATAATTAAATCAAATAATAATTCATGGATTACCCCTGGCATAAGTATCTCTTGTAGGCATAAAAGAGATCTCTACTTATTATGCAGGAATAGTAATGATGAGGCCTTGAAGAATCATTATAGACAGTATTGTAAGACACTAAAAAATGTTATAAGGAAAGCTAAAAGAAAGCATTAGAATAAGCAGGTATTAAATTCCGGTAATAAATAAGAACTGTCTGGGACATTACAAAACTATTAACTGGGAACTTAACCAAAGTAGACATTATTCAAGAATTAAAAGTTAATGGAGAGGTTATTGAGATTAAGTCTCTGTTTAAGGAAGAGTGAATTCATAATATTAAGCAATTTAGAGCAGCTTTAAATGCTTTTTTACATACTAAATCCTATTACACTTTAGATGAATATTTTAATTAGGGATAGTTTCTTGTTTAGCTATGACCCATTGTTTGACTCAGCTCCATGAGTAAGTAAGTAAGTAATGGTAGGTTATGTAGTTGCAGTGATGTGTAGGGTTTCATATGCTTGATTTGTTGTTGTGGATTTATATGCACTGTTCTGTTGACTGCTTGCTGATTTGGCAAGCTTGTGGTGTGACAGGTTCTGTATCCAATGGCTTCAGCCTTGTATGGATGTGCTAGAATGTGTAATAAATACAATACAATACAATTAATTTCCCTGAGCACAAGGGTCTCAGAAGGTCAAGAAGAGATAAGGATACAAGCTGGCCTGTGAAGGGGAATTTGGTTTACTGTGATAAGCCTTACACTTATTCCTTCTAAACTAATTTCACCTGCACTTCAGTAGTGGCAGTGACCAAGTTCATTCAAGCAGCAATGCTGTTGATTCAGGACGTGTCTAGTTCAAATCTTGACCAGGACACCGAATATCCTGATTAAGGTTTGTCATTGTTTTGCCAGTCACTTCAGACATTTGTTGGAATAGCACCTTAAATTAGACCATGGCTGCTTCCTTCCATCTCTCTTCCAAATCATTATTCACTATCATCCAGTCATTCAATGTTATACAGTCTATGCTACTGACAGCACTATTGAATAACTACAAATATACATATTTTTTTCACTAGTGGCTTACCTTACCAAAGAAGCTCTGGATGGGCTTGGAGACTTCAAATTAGGAGGGCAAATTATTCAAACTGTGAAATATGCAGATGACCTTGTGTTAATGGCTAAGGAAGAAACTGTGCTACAGGGTATGATTGATAGACTAATTGAAATTGGAATGTGCTATGGCATGGAAACGAATATGGAGGATACAAAAGTAATGAAAATTTCGAGACAACCAACCCCAGTCACAGACTGTGGACCTGTCTTCTGACAAATTACTGATGAATGAATGAGTGGCATTAACTCCAATATAGATGTAATGATTATATCACATGGTACGGTTACTACAGGCTTGCTGGCAGCAGTACATGTATCTCATAAAGATATTATGCTACTGTGTACTGACCTTTTCTCTTGGTGATCTGGCAGAAAGTTCCAAAATGTAAAGTCATCTGCCACTTGCACTGGATTACTTTCTCCTCCATCTGAAGCACATTTCATTTTATACATGGTATTACTTCAAATATTAGATGCCCTCGAATTTAAGAGGCAACCAGTTTTGGAATGTGAGCTTTATGAAAAAAATTAGAGAGGTTCACATTCTTTGAATTTAAGACACACCTCAATTTTTCAACAGGACATATGTTTAAAATGTGTGTCTTATATTCAACATACTAAGGTACTAAGTGTTGCATGAACACCCATTTATTAATACAAGCCCACTTTCCCTGTTTTATGCCTGTACATGCATTTGTTCATACTGAAATCAGGAGTTGGTAACATGTGACCCACAGGTCACAGAAAGTCTGAGAAGAAAGCCAATTCAGCTGATAAGAGGAGATGTTCAAATGCTAATAACAACATATCACTATAAACATTTTTATGTTCTTATATTCTTATACAAAGAACGGGGAATGAATGTATGAGGTGTAGGCCTTCTCAGCCTTTGCACCGCGACCTACAGTGGTCTACTGTGCTTCACAGAACGGGGAAAGTACAGAAACACACACAAAAATAAAAAATAAATTAAAATAAATTAAACTGACATTTTGATGGAAATGCAAGTTACATATTTTTATTCAGTATAACAGGTTATAACAAGATGAATGGGGTCCACTCCCGACTCCACTTATTGTGTATGTTACACAGCTACTTCAGAATACAAAGCAGAGGTAGGATAGTATAGTGTGAATAAATTATTTATAATGTTTGTTAGCTCCCTGTCCCCTGCTTCTTGCAGCTCCTTGCTTGACTTCTCTTTATCCTGAAGATGGAGGCAGTATGTACCTCTCAAATGTCAGTGAACTTAAACCAGACAATAAAGTATAAGTATTTATATTCCGGATTAGTTATGTTCTCCTTCACCAGCAACAGGGATAACTGCAAACTACATAAACATGTTCCTTACTTGTGGATGTAAGCAGATTACAAACAGATCCACAGTACTATGGGGATAGCAGCCAGATTTTAACATGGTCGTAAGAGCATTAGCATGCCAACTGGATATCATTACACTAGTGCTATGCCCAGAAAATAAATGTTAGAACACTCAATCAAGACATAACATTTCCATTCTCCAGTTATACTTCCTGTGAAGTATTAAGGAAAGAAATACAAGGAATCCACTATGAAACTAGGATGTTAAGCAATACCTGAAAGTAGAAACAAGAGCAAAAGTTGGGCAGATTAAAGATTCAGTTGTATGAGAAACAAAAGATTCCCTCAAGAGATTATCAAAAATGAAGATGGTGATGAAACCATGGATATTATGAACAATGTGGGGAGACAAAGTGGGGGATGATATACAAAGGAGTGAATGTAAATTCAGGAAGAGTATTTAGGGAAAAGCCAAGAGGGATGGTTGAGGCTCTGTCATAGTGTGGGCAGTCCCAGTGGAAAAATCATTGGATGTTGACACAAATGATGTACTTCATTACCTGATGTCTTGCTTTCAGGAACAGCTCCAGTTTTAGCTGCATTGTTTCCATGACTGGATGTTGGAATGATGTTTCGGGGTGGGGACATGTTGTTCTGCAAGGTGTGTGTGATATCATAGCTATAACTGTGAAACAAGAAATGGCTCTGTCAGCATATTACTATTTTGCCTCTCTTTACAAAGAAATAATGTTACCTCATGTACAAATACCCTAGATGAAGTAACAGAGGAACAGATAAAATTACATAATGATGTGTTTCACTATTTATATGATTCACTCATATTATTAAGGTGATTAGTTCCAGATGGATGAAATGGGTAGGATAAGCAATAATCGTGGGGAAAACAAGCATGCAAAATTTTGGTTGGAAAATTCCACAGGAGGACACAATTCAGGAGAACTATGTAGGTCATACCGAAAGTCATGAGCAACTTTTTTTTGCTTGCAACCTGGGAACAGCAGACAAAAGAGAGTAGGGTGGTAGGTGGAACCAGCTGTTGTGTTAACCTTGAGTGTCTTGTGATGTCAATAGCTTGCATCATGTGACCAGTATCACTTCCAACAAAATGGCCGACAACAATATGTTGTTTCGCCAGCGTGCTGTCATCAAATTTCTTGTGAAAGAGGAAATCCCTGCTGCAAAAATTCACCAGAGACTACAGCATGCTTATGGAAGTGTGTGCATGGGTGTGAGCAGTGTTTGAAGATGGGTGAAACATTTTAAAGATGGGAACACCAGCATCGAAGATGAGCCTCGGAGTGGTCGTCCTCGAACAGCCTCAACTGAACACAACAAGGAAAGAGTGGATGAGATCATTCAAGATGACAGGTGTGTGACTGTGGACACAACAGTCAAAAAACTTGGAATAGGGCACAGTGCAGTACAGGAGATGATTGAAAGCTTGGGCTATAGGAAAGTTTGTGCTTGTTGGGTCCCGCAGTTACTGACTGAAGACCACAAAGGTCAGCAAAAAGCCATCACCTCAGAACTGCTGCAGAGATATCTACACGAAGGCAATGATTTTTTGCTCTGTATTGTGACAGGTGACAAAAGCTGGTTTCACCATTTCGAGCCTGAAATGAAACGGCAGAGTATGGAATGGCACCATTTGCATTCTCNAAACATCATCATCCTGCATGACAACGCTCACCCCCATGCCGCTCGCCTCACATTGGAAGCAACTGCAAAGATGAGGTGGGAAGTTCTTCCACACCCCTCCTATAGCCCTGATCTTGCACCCTCTGACTAGCATCTTTTCGGATTTGTGAAGGATCAGCTGCATGGACAACGTTTTGAGACAAGGGAGGCAATTCAGATAGCAGTGCGTCAGTATCTTCGGATGGCTGGAACGGAATTTTACAGAAGGGGAATTTTCAAACTCCCAGAATGCTGGGAGAAATGTGTACAAAGAAGTGGCGATTATGTGGAAAAATAAAGAAAGGTCTGTAGATTGAGGTGGTGTATTTGGTTTGTCAATAATAAAGCATGTTACTTTACAGAAAATTGTTGCTCATGATTTTCAGTAGGACCCTCGTAGATACTGTAGGGAGACATTACTAAAATAGATTTTGGAGTAACAGATGTGTGAAAGCGGCCTCCGCAGTCTAGAGGTAACATTCCCACCTCATGACTTGTGGTATGCGGGTTCAAAAACCCGGCAGAGGTCGTCGAATTTTTAAGGGCGGAAAAATTCAGGGAACAAGTCCTCCAGGAGGGACTTTAAGCCATGGGTCCCGTGTCCTAGCTTTACAGCACGTAAAAGAACCTCATGCCTCAAGGAGGCCTCTGAGCCAAATTATAAGGACATTTCTCGCCCAACAATAGTCTCTAACGCCTCTGATAGATGGGGGAAGCATTATAGACACCACCAAGCCAGTGGAGGCCGAACTCGCTGGCTCGGCGGGACTGATGGTACGCACCAGTATCAGTAGGGTATAGAGACTGGTAAATACCATAGAGGGAAGCACAATGGACCAATACTGGTCTAAGTGCATGGGGAAACCCACCTTCTCCAATAACTAACTAACTAACTAACTAACAGATGTGTGAAGCATGAACTTGAATTTACAGGCTCAGGATAGCATTCAACTGAGAGATTTTGTGAATAAGGTGATGAAACTTTGGGTTCCAAAAATGGAAGGAATTTCCCGACCTGCTGAAAACTATCAATTGCTCAAACAAAACCTTGTGCACCATAATTAGTCTGTGGCATGGAAGGTAAAGAGAAGGTGAACACTCATTTCATCTTCAGCCAGGTTTAGCTTCATCCCAACCTGATATACTCCATGCTATCCTTCCATCACCTCCCTGGTCTTCCAAACAGCAGCTGCTCAAGAGGGTTCCCCACCAAAATTCTGCATGCTGTTCATTGTCCTCCATCCCTCAAAGATACAAGTCCAGCTCATCTTAACCTCCTAGATTTCACTAACGTAACAAAACGAGGTGGCCTGCATAAAAGAAGAATAAGTACATTTTCTTGATGGTGTACCTGAAGTAGAAATTGCTGGATAGATCAATGCTTTGGAACATCTTGACATAACGTTGTTCATCTGGGTGGCTAACACGAATGCCATCGTTTGGAATGTAGATCATGCTAGTGTCTTCAATTTTGTAGATAGTGTGATACCCAACGAATGCGACACGCCGCCTCTTTGTTATGAGGATTATGTAGTAACCCTCCAGAAACTTCACAAATCCTAAGAATTAAACATGATTCATTATACACACAAACAACATGTTATGCATTTCAGGTATGAATGTTGAAGTATACTGCAATTTTTTTTTAAATGTTTTGGTAGTAGTTCCAAATTCCTCAAATCCAAACTGATATACTGGTGCTGAAACTTACAGTCTTATTAGTATTCTGCTTATACTCCAGATCAGGTAAAGTTATCCCTATGCTTAATTAAACACATGCTGTGATATATATGGGGGCATGGAGGTATAATTACATGCATTCCAAATGGACAGTAGGCTCAGTGGGCCAAAAATATGGTCTGGACATAGTGAGAAAAATTCCTGCCCTTACCAGGAACTGAATTATGGCTGTCCAGCCCTTAAGTGAGCTATCTTGGTTTTCCTCTCTAGACCCAGACTAGGAAAAGTATGTCCTGAGGAAAAATTCAGTCCTACCTCCAATGATGATCATCTATTATTAATATTATGACTAAATTAATTTCTCTGCTCTTTCACATACAATACTGTAATACAAAAACTTAGGCTTTGTAAATAAAGCAAGTTTTGCGATCACTAGAGCAAGTTTTTCATGTTTCCAGTTACTGTACTTACAACTGGGCATTAGAACAGTGAGTGAGTTCTTTCCAGATTGTTTTAATGCATTAGTCAGGCCCTTGAGAACACAAATCGGAATTTAAGATTTTGTATCCAAATTAATTCATAACAGTCTTTATTTTATGTATTTATATATACCTATAAATTATGTTAAAACTGAACAACTTATAGCTATCTAACATTCTTTTTAATTACAGAGGTTCTCTTGCAAGGTTTCCTCACTTCTAAATAGCCCCACCAGGCACCCTAGTAAAATCTCGCTACCAATGTTTTGTCTGAACCCTAATTATCTAGTCAGCATTATTTGATATTTCTGTATAAGTCTTCTGTAAGTGCATTTCGCTGTAATGTGTTAATGAGGTCACTGCTCTTCCTTTCAAATTAATTAACAGTAGAGCTTTCCATTACAAGTTCAGCCTATATGAACAGATCACAGACATTATGGGAGATACTTCCAGCAGCAACTCATATATATATAGTTAAAATTTCCATTTCTGTTCTTAACACATAGCTGTAACATAATACTAGTTTCTGCTGTAAGAAGTAGCGAAGCAACTCATATTGTATCACTTGGATGTTTTACATTTCTCTTTACGTTCAATTAGATTATAATAATTTTTCTCACTAATGTATTAGTCATCCTGGGGTTGACTCAACCTCTAACAGGAATAAGCACCAGGAATCTTCCTGGGGGGTAAAGGGTGGCTGCTGCGTAAGGCTGACAACCATTTTGCCATCTCTGAGCCAAATGTCTAGAAGATGTGGGAGCCTCAACCCCTCACAACCCCATGGGCATTCATGGCCTGTTACAGGGATAGCTTTAACTTTTCTTTACCTTTAATATATTAGCTATTTCATGGTTCTCTACAAATTGTAATAAGCACTGTGTCTGCACTTTTGCAATAAATGTTGGGTGCACAATAAATATTTAATTTTCCTGGAGGAACTGAAAAAATCAAGAATAAACTCAATTATGGTAGTAGCTGGTGTCCCATCTGATCCAAATTGGGCACCCCCTGATGTAACAAGCATTACCACTTAAGCTGACATAAAACCATTACTGTGTCTTCTTGGAATAATGACAATGGACAGTCATAAAAGTCTATAATTTATTTAATCCATGCACATTTACATAGCGCTGTCTCCTTTCTCCTCAGTTACAAGGGCCAAAAGGTGTATATACACTTTACAAAAGTAATTTTGGCCTTGATGTTCACTTAGTGCAGTTGCAAATGTACCCCTGCAATACTTCACACTACTATATACCATGTATAACATGGAAGTCATATATCATACTTATCTTATTTTGTTAAACAAATACTTTTTAAAAAATGAAGATCACTGTTGTATGGGATGTGATGCTATGTAGTTTTGTGGATAGGCTACCTCAATTTTTAGGGTACAAGATCTAGCATAATTTTTTGCGGTTTATTTCACGCTGCTATCAGTAACTAAACTAGGTGGTGTCAAATGGCAGGATGACAGATGAATGATGAGTCTGAAAGGATTCTGAAAGAAACAGTGGTGGTCTAATTGAGGTACTGTCCCAGCATCTGCCCGAAAGGACTTAGAAAAAACATGAAAAATCTCTGTCAGGACAGACAATGTTCTGGCAAAGAGCACCTCCTACCAAAAGCCAATCTGCTTAGCTTCTAGCCTAGAGCAAAGGTGAAAGGTACTACTGAAACACTAGTACCTATCTACTGAACTACATAGCACCATATCCCAGAAGAAGGAAACCTTCATAGTCACCACCATGACAACCCTGATGCTACAAATGAAAGAACAAATACTGAGACATATGTTTCATTTCATACAAACTGTATGAGTCATTCTTGAAAAAATTAAAAGTTTGATTTGATGTTCATGTAAAGAAGATGTTGTATTAAACTGATAAATATCATAATTAAACCCATCCTATAACTTGCACCTGTAGACTCCTACTATCAAGTTTAACCAAAATGCATTCAGTAGTTTTGGTGATAAAACATGCATACACAAGTGCTCACAGATGTATGTGTGTGCACACACACCTATAACCACGCACATGCACACAAACACAACTTCCCAGTTATGTATTCATTTTATGTGTCTTGTGCTAAAAATGCATAAAATATACATTACCCAGTGGCTTTCTTGTTATGTAATGTCAACAAGCAAAGCACTATTATACCTGGAACCATACATACCACATGGTTCCAATGCCTTCTTTTGTTAAGCAACAGAACCAGGCCAAGCACTACTGCCCCTGGAAATATACAGGATGTCCAAGGAGGAAAGATCAATATTCTGGGAGGTTATGGTATCGGTCATTCTAAGCAAAAGAGCATTACTACACTTGGAAACGTATATGCCATGCATTCCTGAAATAATAATTCCTGACATAATACTTTTGGCTTTTATAAGTTTTCTGATTTTTTTGGTGATAACTGTTCAATTCTGATCTTCTGAATTAGCACTGTTCTGGGTTGAAGCATGTAGGTTTAGGAAATACCTCAGTTACACAGGTAAATTGCAAGTGTCATGACCACTTTCTTTATAATCTGTGTACAACAGGAATTTCCTCAACCTACACACTTCTGTTCTGAAGATGGAGGCAGCATGTTCCTCTGAAACATCGGTATATACCTAGATGACTACGTGGTACGAGTACATGGTGTCACAATCCAGAAGACCAGAATCTGATTGGCTTCTTTTACTGTTACTGTTGCTTAATAACTAAGACACTGGGAAACGATCCCTATACATTAGCAGGCAGGATAGCTCTGACACTACAGAAGCCAGGTTAAGGCCTGAATGAAAAAGGAACATGGATCTGATTGCTGGAAAGAGGAACACATTTTTCACTTCTCCACAATTTCCAGACCAGCTCTGTGGCCAACCAAATCTTTTATCCAATGGGAAACTGGGGTACTTTCCCACGGTGGAAAGCAGCTATTTAGTAATAATTAATGGTAAAAATACAAAACACATAAAGAGAAACTGTGAAAAGCATACTTGCATTTTTAGTTAAATTCAACATTTCTCTGTATGCCTCACTGGTATTCCAACTATTGCCAGATCAGAGCAAGAGCATTTGGACCTGCAGACTTAACAGTGCCTCTGAATTTTTGTTTTAAATTAACCAGTTCATTGATTTTAATGCTTGATACCACCACTTTCATTAGTAAAAGTGTAGTGAACAAGGTTAGGAAATGAAAGCAGCCCCAGTCTCAAGCCTCCTCTTCCAATTCACCACCCTGAGAAATGCTCATTTAGACCATCTCTTCAACTCGAGGCAGCACAAAGTTCAAATATACCAAGAGATTTGTAAGCCTAACTGAGCATTTTCCAAGACAAACCAGTCTGAAACCTTGAACACCTTAATATTTGGAATTGTACCTATAAGACAACGTAAAATAACTGCTGTCAAAAGTGAACATGAGCAACTTGGAGAATCTGAAGGCATGAATCAGATATATAAATGAGATTGTAACTCCAGTTATTCTGAGATGAGTGTGGTATGTGCAATGAGTGGGACCCATACTGAACTTCACTAACATAAGTAAACTTTCATAGCTTCTCTACAATTTTATGCTCCACTCATGTTTTTGGCACTAACTATAACAAAACAGCAAAGCTTGAAAACTGCAGAATAACTTTATATAAGCACTATACAACCTCTTTAAAATATATAACTTATGTAAATAATTCTAACATGGTGCATACCTAATGACACATGAAAGAAAATAATCGGTGCCTCTGCACATTTTGATATATTTACACTTTACCTACTTGAAAACCAGAGTATACATGCACACTTTTGTTTTTAGCATAAGATAAGGTGGATATAATTTCTATATATTTTGTAAATGTAATGTGTTCAGTATATGAAGAATTCCATGCAACTTCATGCCACCAATCCAATGTAACAACATCTAAATCCCACATTCAGATGGAAGTCGCTCAGCACACTGTAGCACTACAGGGTTATATTTGAGAGGTACCCAGTTCAAATCATGAATAGGAATCAGAAAACTTGGGGTCTTATGAGTTTCCTTAGTCGCTGTGGGCAAATTTCCAGATATTTTGTAGCAGACCACTTTAACATTAATTCCTTCAGGTTCATCATTCTTCCTTCTCATCTGATGCTAAATAATTTGAATAGCTGTTATGCCATCATTGAATTACCCATGAACAAACCAAATTTTATGCTCCTAAAACTACAAATATCGAGCACTGCAGTGGTGGAAACATACTTAAGCATTTTATACATATATATAATGGATTTTTAATTCTTTTTGTTTTGGGGGGGGTGAAAAACACTGGTTGTGAGTACCACCATGTACCAAAACAGTACTAGTAACACAGCATAACACCACCACACACCAATTTTGTGTACACCAAGGACAAACAAGACATGATTCTGATACATGCATGGTATAATACATGGAGAGTTTGGAGATAAATTATTATAATTATTTTGACCAATTGTGAATGGTGGAAGCATCAATACAGGGGTGGAAGTGGAATATGACAGTTTTCATAGTGCTGGTAACTGGCTCAATGAAGTCTGTGTGTGTGTGGAGGGGGGGGAGGGTTGACTGTTCATCAATCTATGCAGTTACTTCCAACAGTACAGCTATGAGCAAGCATGAAGAACTGGCTGGTGGCATAACATATGTTCACAGTTACAACATTACTTAACATAAATCAGTACTTCAGGTTCAAAGGAGATTTCCACATGAGTTCTGTGCAGACAGGTGAAGCAGAATTCCTGCCTGTGGCATTACCTTACAGTGTGTTGGAAAAATTTCAAAATGCAGGCAGAATTTGTAAATGTTTCAATGGTAGTTCATGATCAGGCTGCATGCTGGAGAATGTTGGCATGGCTAGGGAAACAGTGATCTACAGTCAAACTCATTCTGCTGGACATCAATCAGCTGCGTTCAGCCTTTCAGACCGAAGTTTTCATTGCATTCTGCATGATAACCTCAAATTTCTGCAGACAAGTCAGACTGTGCAACAACTGCAAACTGATAAAACTGCTCATGTGGCTTTCAGCATTCATTTCCTCAGCGGCTTGAACTCATAACTGGATATTCTTTATAAACTGATTATATTTGACAAGGCACAGTTTGATCTCTCTCCACTACATCAACAAATACAATTTCCAATACTGGAGCCATGAACAACCAATGCAGGTTTGTGTAAAGCCTCCACACTAAAAGTTACAGTCTGTTGTGGCACATCTGCCTTTGGTCATTATTATTAGACCGTACTTCTTTGAAGAAGTAGTTACTATAGGATTCTTTGAACAACNGTTACAGTCTGTTGTGGCACATCTGCCTTTGGTCATTATTATTAGAACGTACTTCTTTGAAGAAACCCTGCATCATCACGGAGTTGAAAGAGCATATCATTGATGAAATTAAAGCAACTGGTGGAACATTACTGCAAAGAGTTATGGACAATTTCGGATCAAGGTCTCAAGAATGTCTCATGTAATGCAGAGAAATTAATAAATGCTATTTTTAAAACATGAATATGATTTAATAAATTGCACTATATTATTCTTTTCTAGTAAAATTGCTTTCCTGTTATTCAAGCTAATCCTCCCTTAGTTAATTAGTTATTGGAGAGGGTGGGTTTCCCCATGCACTGAGACCAGTATTGGTCCATTGTGCTTCCCTCTATGATATTCTACCCGTCTCTATACCCTACCGATATTGGTGTGTACCATCAGTCCTGACCGAGCCAGCGAGTTCGGCCTCTACTGGCTTGGCGGTATCTATAATGCTTTCCCCATCTATCAGAGGCGTTAGAGACTATTGTTGGGCGAGAAATGTCCTTATAATTTGGCTCAGAGGCCTCCTTGAGGCATGAGGTTCTTTTACGTGCCGTAAAGCTAGGACACGGGACCCATGGCTTAAAGTCCCTCCTGGAGGACTTGTTCCCTGAATTTTTCCGCCCTTAAAAATTCCACGACATCCGCCGGGTTTGAACCCGCGTACCACAAGTCATGAGGTGGGAACGTTACCTCTAGACTACGGAGGCCGCTTAATGCCCCCTTAGTAACACTCTAATTACTGTCACACTCTACTGCCTCTATCCTGTACATAAAATTAACCATAATCACATTCACACTACATTACAATTAACAGTTAAATGTTACATTCAAGTAGCTGGTGCCTGTGATCAAGGTAATGAACCTTGGGTTGTACAAGAGGTGGGGAGTTCATCTAACTGATTGTGTCTACTGGGCATCTTCAAGGGGCAACTACATTACAACCAAATATCAGAACACAAATGCAAAAGGAATGCAATAAACTTTAGAAAAGGTTGGAGATGTATAAAATGAAATGGAAGCAACATATGAAGGCAAGTTAGGCAAAAACATACGGTATACTGAGATGCCTACTGGTGTGCCAGCCTACAGGTTTCATTAATTGATGTAAATCTTCAGTTGTATCTGAAACAGGCTCTAGAAATACAGTGTTCTGTTGACATAAAAATTTTCTTTAATCACCAAATATTTATTTGAGGAAAGAACCTTCCCTAATCCCAAGCATTCTGGGAAGATATCTGAAAACATCAATCTTCCCTTCAAATACGGTCTTGTTGGCTGGCTGACATATGATTTTACAGCTGTTCCTTCGATACTGTGGCTAAGCAATCACAGTTCTCAACTGTCTGAAATTCGGTTGCCATGGAAATTAGGATTCCATAACAATATAATCAGGCCACGCAGCTGTTTTGTCATTGTTTCTAATGCACTGTGTCTTTTAGCACAGCTTATACTGTTACACTGAATAGATGAAAATATAGTATATAGATGAGGTAGACTCCAATTTCTTTGTCACAAAGTATAAAGAAATGTACGTTAACTGAATTGTTGCACAAAATATCAACAGTCATGTCTGCACACTGATTACACTCATTTGCTTCAACAATTAATACATCACTGTCTAACATGGTGTCTATGAAACACTCTTACCATGGATATGCAAGTAGTATCTTCTGTCAGTAGTGAAGATCCTTATCATCTGTCCTCAAAAGAAGTGAAATAATTCCTAATAGTCATCCTGAAGATAGTTTCTTAAAGCAGCCCTTATTCTTCAGTGACTCATATACATGCTGAACAAAATAATAATGTAGTAATCATTTACAACCATCTGCAGAGTGGATCCAGTGTCACTAAAATGGAATTGATACCTTACCAAGCAAGCCAAATGCTGGCACTAGTCGGGGGAAAGTGTTGCGTTTCCAAATCGAATGCCAAAAAGGTTTGTTCCGAGAGGCTGTATCTGTATCTTCCACTGTTCCTTCATCATTGCTTGTTTTCTTACCCCCTGAGTCAGATGAAAACAAAGACAATTAAACAAGAATTGTTCTGTTATGTGTATATGTTTCTACAGTAGCTGCACATACTGAAAGCTAATGCTTTAAGTTGTGATGGGTACTTCCCATAATTATACGATGTAAACTTAATTATAGTGCTGATACTGGTGGTTCTGCAATCTAAGGAATGTCATCTTGGACTGTTCAAGTATTGGAGTCTTGGTTTCAAGCCACATGTGGGGGTACGATTGTTCATCTACATTTTCAACATTATCCTGTGTAGACAGATGTCTGTCAACCGTCTCATGGTCCAAAGCCCTAGTGATAGACATATTTTAATTCTGACCAGTTTCCTGTCAATAACATTAATCCAGGAAATCAATGTGGTTACTACATGTACTGCCAGCTCTAACTTAAAAGAGCCCTACATTTTGCCTACTGAGTGTACTTATGGGTTCTGTATGAGTCTAAGAACAAAAACAGTGATTGCTTCCTTAAATAGTATTACTTACTTGGTGTTACCAGGTGTACATAATTATCTGTGAGACAGAAACTGAATTTTTAAATAATGTTTACATCACCTTCAGGCTTCAAAGGTTACTACGGATATTAAATTCTCTAATAGGAAATGTCTTTTATCATCATTTGTTTATTGCTGATAATTTAGAATTAATCTTTTTTTTTCAAATCTGCATACCAATAATTTTTGGGATATTACAGAACACAAATCCAGTTAACAATAAATCACATGTTTTGAATATGTATGAAGTATTTTTCATGGAACTCAATATATTTCATTCCTCTTAAGTTTCAATGTGACAGACCTACAACAGGACAGAGTCCTAGCTTTTGTGATGACCCCTGAAATTCCATAGATACAGGATACTACTTGAAAAGCTTAATGATTAGAATTACTGGGGAAAGACACTGTAACAGGGGATCTTGTTAGTCACTTAGTGAATTGCAAATTATTTGTACAAAATACAAGAGGTAGATGCTATAGGGGCGGTTGTCCACCTGTCTGCATACTTATCAACAAATTCCAACAAAATTTGGCATGCGGGAGATCTACTTTACATGTTACCAATCATATTTCATTTGGAATTGTATCTGTTTAATTTAACCGTTTAGATGAAGGTCAAATGAAACATGATTTTCTAAAAAATGTCCAATCTTACAAAGAAAAAAACTGATACAAGACAACAAATATGGCTCTCATTAAGATCCGGGACTCCTATTTCAAATACTTTTTTATATAGTGGCTATTAAAATAAAATACAAAAGCAAATAATTAACAAATATGAAATCAAGCATTTTTAATGTGATTAGCTTTGCAACAATTATTTGTCATGTATTAAGAAATATTAAGGCCAAGGAGGTCTGAGAAATAGCAATGAATGAACTTGGAAAATATGTGCAATCTGTTGGGCCACATTTCCACTCCAGTTTGCTTGGTAGTATTTAAGCATAATGTTGTCAGGCCACACTAAATAAAGCGTTTTGAGATATCTCTTTTAGCCACATCTCAAACCCTGTACAGTTGCTATTAAAATCACTTCATCCATGTCTGTCCATTTATATTCATGAAATATTCTGAAGATCACAGACTGAACTTTCATAATATCTGGTAGTGGGAGATCTTACCAAGATTTATTAACATTTTCCAATGATGGTTAAAATGCAACATTTCACATGAAGATCTACATCCGTTTCCATGTGACTCTCAAACGAAACTCATTAAATATTTGTTGCAACCACAATGTTTCAATCTAATATTGCAGAGAAAAATGAAACACATATTTGTGACAAATACAATATTTCCATAAGTCTTACACAAGAACTGTTACACTACATGTACACTTGCTAACTTGTATACGAAGGGGGACCCAAAAATAACCGGAACCGACCTGTTGCGGGCGCATGCTTTGTAGTTACGAGTTGTGCTGCTAGGTAGTGTTAGCTGGGGGTCTCCCGCGACTGTTAGTGAGCTGGCATAAGTCTGAGTTAAGTGGTTTGTCTGTGGTGCTCTGTTGTGTGCGTTCCTGTTTCAACCCTTTGGCGATTAGCAAGATGGCAACAGGTCGGTTCCGGTTATTTTTGGGTCCCCCCTCGTATTTTTAGCAATGAAAAATGATTTAAACACATGCAGAGCTTACTGAACAATCAACAATAGTTTTTTGAACAAATGCAAAGATTAGAAATTTCTTATTCTAAGTAATAATTAAACAAAGCTTTCTTCGATCTTAATTTACAGGTTTACATGACAGAAATATATACTCAATTTAAACGTAATTTTCACAAAAACACATATTTTTAAGCTGATATAAAAGCTTTAAGTCATAAGAATAATTTACCAGGGATGCTGGCATGTCATTTATAATTTCTTCTGCTGGACTCACATGTACAATGTACACTTTTACAATATTCATTTACTACCTGCTAAGATTATGTAGTGCTGATTGAGAAATTTTGAAATGATACAAATTGTGTGTTACGAGGGTAACAGAAATTATAACAGCCTAAATTAAGGTAACTGTTCTATAAACTGTCTGCAGGGACTACAGAAAACCACAAGAAACCTGTGAAAGTGGCCATTTCTGTTGAACCAGGTACCTCACAAGTGTGATATATTACTACCAAGCTGCTCTATGAACCCTACATAGTACGCCTAATATGCTAACATGCTAAAGGTTAAATTCCTGTTGCTAAAACTGTTGCCATAAACAAACGAAGGAGGCACAGCCCTTTGCACTAGGTGTAGATAAGGGACCAGTTCTACCATAAGGGAAAGAGCCCTAAGTACCTACTGGATAACAGGATGGGTGGACTTGGGACATAGCTGTGAAGAGAAAAATTGAACTGAAGTCATTTAGCCTGTATAAACAGCAATAAAAAAGAAATCTGTGACTGTATGAACTTAATGGAAATGTAAGTAACAGATGAGATGAGAAGATATGAAAATGCTGCAAACCGTGCTAAACACTTGCACAAGAAAAGGGATGCAATATGAATACTTACTCACTCCTGCAGTTTCTCATGCATAATGCAAAATATACATGATCTGTTTGCCATACAAAAACAACTGACTGACCATTATTCACATATCAATTTCAAGTTTGTTACATTTCATGAATAAAGAGTTACAGGCACTTCAAATACAAAACAAAGAAACTTTGGGGGGGGGACCTGTTCCAGTGCAACTTTGTCCATCATGAATCTCACATTAAGTCACCCAGGACTGTGTTGAGAAACCACCATAGATATGGTATGATGTCCTATCATATTTAAGATTGCGATATTTATAATTATCCTCATGTTAAATAAAATAAGTGTACATGAGCCATTTGGATTTTTTCAATTTACCTATCCTCCCAGCTGCACTATGGCCCTGGGGTTGACTCAGTCTCTAACACAAACGAGTACCAGGAATTTTCCTGGAGGTCAAGGGAGGCCAGCACACAAGGCTGACAACCTTACCGCCATCTGTGAGCTGATCATCTAGAAAATGTGGGAGCCTCGACCTGTCACAACTCTATAGGTTTTCATGGCCTGTTACAGGGATAACTTTACCTTACATGAGCCATTTTGTATCCAATCACCAAATGAGGTTATACATCATTAAACCTGATTTTGCACTGCAGCAATTTAAATGATCATGAATGACTAACTTAATTTCAAATCTATATGCATCAAGTACTTTTAAAATGGGGCACGTGGTAGCATAGTTGGTTGAGGCACTATGCTACAAGCCGGAAGGTCGCAGGTTCAAGTTCCGATGAGGTCACTGGATATTTTTCAATTGATCTAATCCTTCCAGCTGCACTATGGCCCTTAGGTCGACTCAGCCTCTAACAGAAATGAGTACCAGGGATATTCTTGGGGGGTAAAGGGCAGCTGGTGCATAAGGCTCACAACCTTGCCGCCATCCATGAGCCGACCGTCTAGAAAACGTGGGAACCTCAACATCTCACAACCCTATTGGCCTCCAGGGTCTGTTACAGGGATACATTTACTTTTTTTTTTACTTTTAAAATAAAAAAAGAACGTGTCTTGAAATATAAGGAAGATACTGCTTTAATGCCCTGATGTTGCCATTTCATGGCATTATCAACTTGCATCTGTTGACCTAGATGAAACATTTTTGATTCTGGCATGAACATATGTGGCATTATGGTGAGCATAACTGTTATTTTTTTTTAAGCTTAAACTTTGAACAAGACACATACCTTGGCATATGGCTCAAAGTAACTAATGTTGTACAATCATATTACATGAATGAAATCACACAAACATGGTGTTATCTTGAATATACCTCCAGAAGGTAAACAGTACTGACATTCAAAATTTCGATCAGTTCTACCAAACAGCATGTATGCCATATCACTGAATTTTCCAATAATTATTATTTCTTGCACATTTCATTTACTTAATGGTTTGCATGCTTATACATTGATCACACTGCTCACTATGACACAAAATGTAATATCAAACTTGTCATTTCATTCTGACTTAAAGTTCAATTTAACAAAGTGAAGTAAATGTATAAGCGACATTAATTGGACACAGATTTTTAACATTACATTTTGTCACCCCTTTCTCATTTGGTTTAAATTCAAGCTGCACCTACTTATTCTGACTTTCAGTGGCTCTGCTTGGAATTATCCATAATTCTAAATGCTCACCAACAATCCCAAATGCTGACACCACTTTGGCCACCCCACCAGTAGCTGATCGTTGACCTGCACGAGTACGATTTCCCACATCAATCATGGTCACAAGATCTCGAATTTCCTCTTGCGTGTACTCCACTTTATCATCTATGACTGACAACTCATGTGGTTCCATTCGATCAATTTTGAGAACTCGGAATCTTGTTTGGGTGTTGTTGGATCCTATTAGGTAAAATCTCTGTAGACATAAACACAGAGACAAAAAGATAACAACTTTTTACTGTACCACGAAAAAGACTGACCTGCAGGCCAAGTCTGTGTATAAATGCATGAATGAGTTCTGTCATCAATGAAGTTCATTTGTGTCTATAAAAAATTCATGCTAAAAAAATCAATTTCTTAACTGGAGGTAAAATTAAATAAAATGATATACAACTCAGACTGTAAAGAAGCCTGACAATGGCACTGGGGGCAATACTGCAAAATTATATATAAGACTGGTACATTAAAAGGCAATAACAATACATCAGGCTGCAGAGTGTATTACCATTGTGGTCCTACAAGAAATGCAAGTATGGTGAGATGGATACAGGGATTTCTGTGGTTCACCCACAAGAATCACAGATGACTAAAACTTTCAAATGACAGAAACAGTTGCTGCAGCTGTACTTGTATAAAGTTTCTGACTTCAGGATAAACTACTGCAGCTGTTTGGGTAGGAGTCAGGAATTAATACCATATTTACGCATGTATAGGCCGCACATTTTTTGCCAAAAATTCAAGAGGAAAACTGGGGTGCGGCTTATATTCGAAATCACACTTCATTTAAAAAAAAATTATATTCACAATTAGTAATACAGGATGTTCTACTCCTGAAATAATATTCCAAGAAAATTATTTGTTCTATAATTTGTCTGAAAATTGTGCTGCAGCCTATACGTGCGTAAATACGGTAATGTAGGGGTTTGTTTGAGCATCAATAGGATGCTGGGGTATGGAATGCCTATAAAGATATAAGTTGGGTTCACCCTTCACAGGTGGGTTTGATGGGTTAGCTCAGGGGAAGCACATGACTCTGCATCAGGCACATTAACAGGCCGTAGCTCAGATGACCAGGAGGTACTCACTCATGTGGCACCAATTCGTTCAACCAGAAGGCACAGGATCACTTCAACTGGATATTTATTAATGCCCTTATACTGCTACACAAATACAATAGTTCATACTTTCTCTGTGAAGTTAGGAAGGAGCAAATTCACACTTTCAAGAGAATGTTTATTTTTAATTACTTAAACAGCCAAACAGTAAAAACAACTACACTCTGTGGCTTTAGTCCGCAAGCGAACTATACTGACCGAGCGACCGCCGCTTGTCGGTGAAGTTAGTTCCAACTTTTGCGGATAGAGGGTGTCGCGTGGTCATCACAACAAATCCCCATGGCCATTAATTTCGGTTTTGTAGACCAAAGCCGCTACTTTTCCATTCAAGTATCTCCTCAATTATCCTCACAAGGCTGAGTGGAGCCTGTTCCAGACCCGCTACTTCTCAGAAAATGTGGTAGTGCTGGGAATATTACCCGGGACCTTTGAATCTGTAGCCAGGAACTCTGACCACTAGACCACAGAGTTAGTCACCAAATAGTAACTTCTGTGAATTTATCTACTGAGTTGATTATCTTGGAAGACAAAATGGTTGCTAAGTTGAAGATTTACAATTTGTGATAGAAATGGCATCCTGGCACGACTGAACTCAGTCACTGAGATTTACAACCTTTAAGACAAATGTGTCTCTCCTTAGTTACATACGTGAATGAAGGAAAACTCAAGATTCTAATTGGCTGGTCAGACAAGCACAGGAGAGCATAAAACCTTGTGTGCATTACTTTGCACTGCTGAAGGAAGAACGTCACACTTGTATGGATTGTTTCATCACCTATACGCGGATTATGTGAAATGTCTAAGAGCTATCTTATTAGTCTGACATAACAAACTTTCCTGATAGTCTTCATCATTTTTCCATTTAATACTATGTAGGACAGTGTAGTAGAGAACAATGGGGTAAACTTGTTTACAGATATGAATAAAATCCAGGGAAGTCCATGTATGGACTGCTTTGACACATGGACATTATACATCATCTCTTTCTCTTGAGAGGATGTTTTGAAGACTGTCTCTGTTTTCAGGTAAAATTCCTACTCTATTGGGCCAAACTGACAGAGCTAGTCCCTATCTCAACACCAGAAGTATGACATGATATATAAATCACACAAGACAGACACGAGCTGAGGAACTGAAGATAAAAGACATAAATGATATGAATCGGGACCATCGATTAATTCAAAGACCTGTCTCGTATTCAAATAGTAATATGAATTCACTAAGACTAAAACAATCTAAACACTTACAGCTTTCGTTTCATATAATGCTATCTTCTGGATGGAACTTATTATTGGATGAAACACCACTTTTGCTTCTTCCATTGTATACCAGTAATAAATGTGGGATTCACGTTTGTACAAGCTTCCTTCGCATGCTCCGCATCACACACATCCGTTCACCACGTTTCTAATAAATATAATAATACCTCGTTCGTCGACATTAACCACACAACCATACAAACCGGTACTCATCCGTACTCATTGCCCTCATTGCACACAACTAACGCCCACCAACACCAACAGATCCAACATGCTTGTAGGAAGTAAACAGTAAAATATCACGGATTACTTGTGCAGCCTGGATAGCTCAGTCGGTAAAACGCCGGGCCATGGGCTGGATAGTCATGGTTCGATTCTTGGCAAGTGCAAGACATTTTTCTTTACTCCACAGCGTTCAGACAGGCTCTGGGGCCCACTTTGTCTCATATATAATGGGCACCGGGCACTCTTTCCCCGGGTTAACGCGGCCGGAACGTGAAGCTGGCTAGTCATCTCCATTTAGTGTCGAGTCAAGAGTTCTGGAGCTACACCTCCACTCACCCACACGTCTTCATGCCGTCGTGCTTAAGTAAACAAGCACAGTGATAACTTTAACTGTACTAAGCACAGATATGCAGTTTAATCAACTTTGTGTTCAAAGCAGAGATACAGTATACTAATCATGCACTATCGACATCTGTAACCCGGGACCGGAAATAACTTGAACCTGGTATAAAATCATTCTAATTTTTCATGAAAGATATCGCTTTGCCACAGAAACTTAACCACATGTACAGTACCACAGTGATCACAGTACTGTACATATACGACCTATACGACACTAGTGGTGGGTAACGTAGCGGAACACGTCATGCAACCACTGGCAAGGGCTTAGTCGCTAAGAAAGTTTACTACCATTCCACTGGAGGTATACCTCCAGCCCCGCCCCATTCTCTACCCAGCGGTGGATGGATGATTTTGCATTACCTAGCTATTTATTTCAATATTATTAAAATAGGTTTCATAAATATTTCAATGACATGCTTACTGATGCACTGTCGTTCTTCATTCACATGATCTCGTTACGCCCTTAATTGACTATCCTAAAGTATATATATTAGGCGTAGGTGGGTGAACATTATTAAAATGGATCTTAGAGAGATAGGTTGGGACAGCATGGATTGGATTGATCTGGCTCAGGATAGGGACCAGTGGAGGGCTCTTGTGAATACAGTAATGAACCTTTGGGCTCCATAAAATACTGGGAAATTCTTGAGTAGCTTCTGATTTGGTTTCTCCTCAAGAAGGGCTCAGCTCCATAGGAAAGTAAGTAAAGTATATATTACTTCGTAATTGATATAAATGTATCGTCGTCCTATTGTGGGAAGTGTACACTAAAATTAACTAAGACCTGAAAGTTAAAATTAATTAAAATATGCAAAATTTGAAATTGCTAATCAATACAAATTTCCCTCCTTAAAGCATGAACACTGTACTCCATTTGTCATATTTGAATACCGAATGTCCTGTCGGATTTGTCTGTTTTTTGTTTTTATGTATTCTGGACATTGAATGAAAAATATCCTTTGGAATTTGACTGACTTATGCACTCCACCAGATGCGAGTTCTGGCGCAGTTATTTTATTACTTATAAATGATCGTAAACTTTAGTTAGAAAAGCTTAAGAACTTTATGGAAATTTAATCTTAAACAAAGTGTTAATATCACAACAAATCTAATTAAAATCTGTTATAAAAATGTGTGCTGTATTGAGGTAATTTAGGATGGGTCCAAAGGAGGGATTTTTAGGGCGGTTTTTAAATTTCGAGTCTCATAAAAGCATAGAATTCTTAATAGCTTTAACCTAATTTGTTTACAAGGGAGTTATGTAACTTTATTTTACAATATCTGGTGTAAAATTCCCTCTTTAACATATTACTAACATAATTATCATATGAATGTATGCATTGCAGTTTTATAATAGTAACCGTCTTGTATTCGATACACTGACTTCGCTTTTATAACCTAACGTCACTACTGGCGCTTCTGACTTCATAATTTGAACACACAATTATGCGGGATAGGAAATCACACAGTTTCCCACATACGTCTATGTTATATTGTTTCGTTCTACAACAAGAATGCACTACGGGCTAGAGGCGGAGGATGCATGAGAGAAGAATGGGAACGACAAAGAGGCTAAGGAAGAGGAGAATAAGAAGGAGAACAACAAAACCAATTTAAGATGTCTGAAGTTTCGTGACAATGGTGTGCTGTTGGCGACTACTTCAGACACTTCTCGCATCTCGGAAATTATCCTTAATTTCATAATCTTATAAAAAAACCTCAATTCTCTTGGGTCCAGTATATCGTGCCGATCTGTGACCCAAATTTTAAAACAATTTAGTTTATTTGTTTTAAAAATGTTTCTTACGTATATCTATTGCTCAGGGAACCATTATTCCTTTGCACTTTACTGATATCAAATTGCTAAAATATCAAAGAGCGGAAGCAGTCCTCAGATTGTTGAAGCCCGGAGTCCCAACTGCAGCAGCCGTCCATATTATTTTTTTCTGCACAGAGAACAAAGAAACATGTGAAATTAGCACATAAATATATAATATATAGTAATTAAAGAAAAGATACTCTTGTGAATGTACAAAACACCATGAATATTTATAAGGGTCGGTATTGTAGAGTTCCGTATATTCTCGCCGATAAAGTAATAAATTACATTCTTTGCTGAGAACAAATTGAATCAGAGAGAACTACGTTTACTAAGCATGTAAACACTTCTAGTTATTATACAAGATGCATGCTGGGTATGTAGCATGCATGGGAGAAACAGTGTACAAGAAGCCTTCAGCATTTCAACTATAAAATGATCATATACTCAACTGTCACTTAGCGCAACACATTAGCTACATTGATGCCACTTGTATTCAATTTGGTTACGATGATATTACATGTCTCAAGTCAAAGAAATGGAACTACACGTGTAGCAAAGCAAGTAGTCATTATCAGGTTCATCACGTATTACATTGTTTTACGCTCGTTGATTGGTACACATCTGTTTCTTGTGCTTGTTGTGATGGAGTAATTGTAAGGTTAATAAAATTAACTGTAATGACTTCACTTGACTTAATTCCTTTAGTTCCGAGTGGAACATAAGGCTCCTGTGAAACTCCTCCATCTTCTCCTCTGGTTTTCCAATGCCTTAACCTCTCTCCAGGTCCGTTCCGTCTCTGTTATTTCCTCTTCTGTTGACCTTCTCCAAGTTTTCCTTGGTCGGCCTCTCCTTCTCGCACCTTGGGGGTTCCAATCTAATGCATCCCTTTCTGTGGTGCCAGCTGATTTCCTTAAAGTGTGCCCGATGCATTTCCATTTTCTCTTTTTAATTTGGATTTCGGTTGGTCCTTGTTTTGTGATCCCCTCAGAGGGTATTTCATGTTGTGTCTGACCATCTTATGTTTAAAATGTGCCTTAAACACCTATTTACAAAACTCTGTAGTGTGTTCATGCTTGTTTTTAATGCTTTCCATAATTGTAATATTAATATTAAAAATTGATGTATTTTCATAAAATATAAAATTACTTGGAATTTTTTAATTGGATTATGATAAGTGTCAACACAGATGGTAGGGTGTGTCGTGTTAAAGTGAAGATTGAAAATATCCTACATGATAAAATTCAAAATGGTCCGTAATATAAAATTAGAGAAAGGAGAGAACTCCAATGATGTGGCTCACTGTGGGATGAACTGCACTTTCTGGTTTAGTTACGATAAAGAATTTATTCCTAATATTTAATAGCAATCAATTATTCAGTTACAGCCAATACTAATGCATCTGTTAGACTGACATTTTCTCACTTTTCTATCGTTAAAAGAATAATGTAAACTACGTAGGATATTAACAAAAGTAAATTTTTTTATCAGACTTCTTCACAGTCCTTCTCGGAGCATGCATTCTTCTCACAAAAGATATGACCCTGTTAACAGGCCTGCTTTATGTTCGTGTGTCTCGAGCAGAAATATTTGCTAACAGAATGGCCATCCTGTACGATCTTTAATGATTTTATCAGTCATCAGACCCGACTGTTGACATACTGTCTTAAATAGGTCATTACCGCTTTATTCCACATCTTTGCCTATTTCCCCCACATAATCATCCCTTAATTTTATGCTGTTTAATTGGCAGCCGTTCATTCCAGGCACCTCGAATACGTTACATTATTAATTTAATTAATTCAATTATTACGGGTAGATATTGTCCAGTCTAGAAAACCGAGATTAACGGCCAAGGGAATCCGTTGCGCTGACCGCGCGACACTCTCTATCCGCTAAAATTGGCATTAACGTCGCGGACAAGCAGCGGTCGCTTAGTCGGTATAGTTCGTTTGCGGACTACAGGCCATGGAGTTCTACTCGTATATTACAAGACCTGAACTAGTGAATTCTTCAGACTTTCTTTCCTGCTGTATTATTAGATTTAAGAAATAATCTCTGAGGAATACCATTCTTATGTACCTAGTGGTGTACCTATTTCCCTTTTACGAGGCGACTTGTGTTTCCTCGTGATATTAATCACTCGGAGAACAGTCTTTCTATTAATCACTCATAAAAATGAAATACCTGAGGAAACGTTTTCGAAGACGACAGTTAAATAGGCACTTATGATGAGGCAACCTGACGTGTTTCTTTGGTCGGCCGCAAGATTATGCCTTCTTTAAGCCGCTAAAATCGGCGTCATTTTAGACTAAATAACTCAACAGTTGTGAGTTCTGAGGTCATTGTTCAGAGTGTGGTATTCTGGGTGGTAGTACAGTGTAGTGTACTAAACGAACACTGACGTTTCACTGAAATATGCTGCTTCCATCATCAGGATGCCGATTGTCTTGAAAATATGGGATCTTGACCTCTCACAAGCTTATGGGCCTCCACGGCCCGTTATAGGGAGAGCTTTACCTTTTCACTTTACCTTAGTCTAGTCCACAACTTCACACAACGTTTGTCTAAGATTAATTTTAGTATTATCTTCCTGTCGAGGAATAGTTCTGGCAGATAATCTCATCTCCTGAAACTTTCCTTCCCGAGAGTTATAAGCAGACAGTTAACTCACCCGTAACCATAGCTGTAGCTGGAGCTAGCAGCCGAACTCTGGCTATACGAGTATGAGCCGCTGCCGCCGCCGCCGCCCCCACAGCTGGAGCAGCCCGAACTGTAATGCGGATGCGAGTAAACTGGTTTCTGATAAACCGGCTGCACATATTCAACAGTTTTGACGTAAACTGGCTGAATACGAATCGGTTTCACATAAACCGGTTCGACATAGTAGCCACCACCACCACCACCTCCATACCCACACGAGAAACAGCCTTTGCCATGTTTGTGAGGGGATCTCTTCAACCGGGGGTCTCCGTCGTCGGGTTGGTCGTTGCCGACTACCGACTCTCCCGTCAGGCGTGGCAATTCTGATGCCCCTGGAAAACAGAAGAGCCACCAAGTTAGGAAGTTATAAAGCTAGTATCCCAGGCAATAGCCAGATGAAGTAGGGAGTTACTCATCTGGTCATGAAATCATGAAGTCTCCTATGGGACCCATGTTTCAAAGAGGTCGTTTTCTAACACTTGGATATAATGAACAGTGAATGAGTGCATTTTCTACCTTCAACATTATAGAAAGTAGTTGAATTTAATTTTAGTATATATATTAAAAATTATAGAATTCTAATAAGGATGGACACAGAATAATTACAGGTTAATTCCAAATTCTTGTCGGAGTTCCGGTATATATTCCACGGAAACCCCGACAATGATTAAAATCACCTTGTATAACTGCTACATTACACGCAGTTTAAGTTCTTATAACTATTTTCTCAGGGTAACCGTCCATCTTAAAAAAATACATTATGTAAAATGTAAACTTCATTAATATATTTGAAACAATAATATATGTGTCGGATATTTAACGAAAAGCAAGGAGTATTAGGCAACGTGAGGCCTACACTGGGTTTAACTTTGTTCCAACAGATTTATATCTGGAATAAACAGATATCTAGACCACTCTTGTTTTATAATATATCAGCATCAATATGGTGCATAAGCTGATCACAGTGGCCGCGCGGTCCAAGGCATGAACCGTCTTCGCCCGCTCGATCACTGGGATCGTGTGTTCGAATCTCACTGAAGGCACGGATGTTTATTCTGTGTTTGTGTGTAGTTAGCGGCCTTTTGACGAGCTGATCCCCTGTCAAAGGAGTCCTACTGACTGTCTAAGATTAAGAAATTGAAGTGAAACAAGCGTTTTATGGATGCCCTATGCTCCAAGTTGGAGCAACAGGAATAGGTAGGTAGGTAGGTAGGTAGGTAGGTAGGTAGGTAGGTAGATAGGTAGGTAGGTAGGTAGGTAGGTAAGTATGGTGTATAAGATTACGAATATTATAAATTTAAGCTCAAAACAAACAGATAGCTATGTTTGCTCTCGAAAATGTACAAGAATATTCCATGTAGTAGAATTTAACAGAAAATGTATATTAATGTACAATAGTCATGCATGTTGGGTCGCAGGTACGATGTGCTAATTTGATACGGGAACCTAAAAGAGAAGACTTATTGAGAAAAATGAGAAAATTACACAAAGAGCAGCTTCTTATTATGTACTTTACTTCTACTGCTACCACAGCCATTAAATAAAATGGGACGAGACGATTACGTCATGCAGTTGCTCGCAATTGATAGACTTTTAGGACATCCAAGTAAACTACGTCAACTGCAGAGGTTATGTAGCGACGGAAATGTTGGGGGATAACTGTGGAAGGGGAGTGTTTAAAAATATTAGAGATGGCGCTTGGAGCTAGTAAAGGAAACCACAAGAAACTCTTAGTTAGAATAGCGACCGAGATTCGAATATGGAACCTTCTGTTTACATCATCTTTACACCGTCCAGATGGTGCGCACCTGTAAGTAAAAAGTATGCATAAATGGGTTACTGTGATTAAGTCTGGAACCCTTGGTTTCCGCGGAATAAACTTTGCTTTCTGCTAATCCATCGTTGTCAATAATTCCGTTTATACGGGTTTACAGTTTCTGGATGAAGGCTACTGTTCATATGGGAACAGTGTTGTGATGTACAGCAGAATACTGTAGGCAGCTCAGGGACAGTTCAGGCCTAACTGTAAGCAAATTGCCAGTATACTCGTATATATACATGTTTCAACCTGTCCATGTGTGGTGACAGATATGCTTTTATGTCGGGGCTGGCAATATATAATTTACAGTAAAATTTATCGTAGATACATTACATTTTCCATACATTCGGAGGATCTTCAGATGTCTGCAGTTTCAGGAGTTTCGTCCGCAATCCAACTCTCTTTTTTTTTCTCTCTCTCTCTCTTACACACACTCACACACTCAAACATGAATTTTAATGTAGCTAAACCCGTTGAAATCAATTTGACTATTATTGCCTCAAAGCATTTGTTCATTTGTATACTCTAAAATACTTTTCCGTCATCCTCTAAATAGAAACACATTTTATATAACCGGGAAAACACAGAAGAACCAAAAGCTGTTTGCGAGCGGAGCAGTTATGATTTGAAAAAGGAAGTATTGAGCCTTATTATTAATAGCAAAATGCGCAACTTTCACTTGTATAGACCTGCTGTCTTATAGAGGGAACTGTAAACACTGAATTCATACTACGAGTAGTGGCTCCGTTCATAGTCGCAACTCATAATGATTTTTGTCTTGTCGTGAAGCAGGCTAGATAGCTACTCTGATCTCTAACAGTATTTAAATTCAGATACCAATTTCAATCTAGCCTATGTCTTAACTGCTACGTATTTCTCGCTGGTCATAACGAAGAGCGATCGGGTATATCCCCTTCGTCCCCTCTCTCTTCTCTTTACTACTTCCGGTCACGAATATAAAGCTTATATCACAAAGACCTAAGTTTGAAACGATGAATTCGACGTATTACTACGTATTTAAGAACCTAACTCGTCTCCTGTATCACGGACTCGTTTACGATCTAGCGTACTGATAGTAACTTCAGAGAAGGTAGGTACACGTGCACCAGCAGACCATGTAACCATACGAGGTCGCGCGGACAAGGCATGTTGTTTCTTAAATTTAACCGGAAATTTTGAAAAGCTGAGCTTTTATTTACGAATAAAAGAAACATTTATTTTTGACGTCAAAATGTTTGAGGCGTACTAGCAATTTTCTTACAATACACAGTCGAGTGGCTGAGTACAATTCGAAAATCGCTGGTGACCTTGGTTTAAATATTACCTGTTCTGCTTGTACTCTGCTCGGAACCATTTCTTGCAGCTTTAACAAGTAACTGGACCATAGGGCCAAGGGGCACAATCTCGTTCCCCACGTATCCGCCTTCTTCTGACCTTTGCTCGGGCTTGAACCCGTGTTCCGAGGTTATGATGACACCTAGAACAAGGACACAGTGCAGATTGTGATGCTTCAAAATGGCCGCCTGCTCCTGATACAAGGAGGACAATTACGTTACGTTCGAGCCAGTTGACTGGCTTCTAGGCTATTCTTCTGTGAATAACTTACCTTCCATTATACGGCCCTAAATAACAAGAAATTCTGAGAGGAACATAAGGCTTACTATCTAGTACAGATTCTAGCAACAGTAAATATTTCTTATACATGTAAAACTTCAAAAATATTCTTACTTTCCCAATGTTTTATTGTTAACATGCAAAGTATTTCACACATAATTTTGGGTAATTATGAGCATATGCTCTGCAGCCGGTCACAGTGGCCATGCGGTCTAAGGCACGAACTGTCTTCGCCCGTTCGAACATTGGGATCATTTTGTTCAAATCCCACTCGAGGCATGGATGTCTGTGCGTTTATTCTGTGTTTGTGTTGTTCTGTGTGTAGGCAGAGGCCTTGCAACGGGCTGATCACCCGTCCAAGGAGTCCTAAACTGTAGGATTAAGAAACTGAAATAGTGACCAAGCTCCACAAGGGCTGTAGAGCCATACATAGATAGATAGATAGATAGATAGATAGATAGATAGATAGATATGCTCTGCAGACTACAAAACTTTACATGCCCAGCTCAAATGATTTGTCACTTACGGACTTGAAGCTAACAGCTAATTCGCTCGGCCGCTATAATATTTAATTTCGCTTAGTGGGGGGTGGAGTCCAACCGGGTCCACTCGGCACGGCGTCCACTAATTGGCATATTGTAGCCACCCCAGGTGATTATGATGATGGAGAATTTGGTGGAATGAAGAGTGGTGGGAGAAATCGAAGTATTCTGAGGAAACCCGCCCCAGCGCCACTTTGTCCACCACAAATCCCACTTGACTAGACTCGGGATCGAACCCGGGCCGCCACGGTGGGAAGCCAGCGACTAACCGCTTGACCTATGGTGCGGCCTAATATTTAATTTACTACCTACAAAATACGAGAACACACGTTGCATGTTCTTCGAAGTTCTGCTTCCATATAAAATTTCAGAGGCGTTAGTATCGCTCACACAATATACGTACTTGCAGCCATGTTGGTTTCATTGATGGTAGAAAATGAAAAGCCACACAGATGGAATGGTTTCTATTGGCACGACGGTTATGTAGGTAAAGGTAAANCGGGCCGCCACGGTGGGAAGCCAGCGACTAACCGCTTGACCTATGGTGCGGCCTAATATTTAATTTACTACCTACAAAATACGAGAACACACGTTGCATGTTCTTCGAAGTTCTGCTTCCATATAAAATTTCAGAGGCGTTAGTATCGCTCACACAATATACGTACTTGCAGCCATGTTGGTTTCATTGATGGTAGAAAATGAAAAGCCACACAGATGGAATGGTTTCTATTGGCACGACGGTTATGTAGGTAAAGGTAAAGTTGTCCCTGTGCTTAACTGATTAAGCACCACGCCATGAAGGCGTGTTTGGAGTGAAGTTACAGCTCCACCATTTTTAAACTCTGCGATAGATGGGAGTTAAGCGGTTTATTCACGCCAGGGCAGCTTTACTCCTGGAGAGAGCCCATACAGCACCCGTTGGATAGAAGGCTGGGTGGACCCCAGAATCTGTCTGGGGCTATGGAGGTGAGATAATTTTTGCCCTCCCGGGAATGGAACCCCAATCGTCTAGCCCGTAGTCCATCGGTATAAAGACTTGACTATCCTCGCTCATGGTACGATATATCTACAAAGTTCAATGAAATGGCGTCTCTTTTTCAAATTTTTAATTTTGACGAATGAACGGACATGAAACCTGGTCTTATTTCCTTAAAAAGGAACTGCTGGAACGCAAGTTATCAGTCAAACTGAACAGCCTGAGAACAGCGTACATTGGGAGACAGCTTATGTTAGAAAAGCTGAAAGATCACAGAGATCTTGTACCACGCCCTACAGTAAAGATCGAAATGTGGCCTCTCCTATCGAAGGAATTTCGTAAATCCTAGTGAAAATGCAGTAGGAATCCTTAGATACAGGACGGCAATCGCAAGGCCTCTACTGCCACAGTATAATAAAGACGAGTGCTTAAATTCGTCATTATCAAGAACGGCAAATAACTGGGGTCAAAGTGTTCCAGTCTTACAAGTACGTGCGGCCACCGAGGTGTCTGCTCTTTGCATGGCTTCCGGTTCTTCTACATAGCCCGCGGCGAGATTACGATTGTATTATAAGCGTATTATAATTCTCTGTCGTTTCTAATTTACATACAGTTTAAATAAATTAGTGCAATTGTAAATAAAAATAAGTATAGAACGTGACTTGGCTTAATTTGTAATTTCGCAGCTGCTAGTACAAGCAATTACTGTTTTCAGTTACTATGAGAATGTAGGCTTTAGTGGGCCCATCTCCAGATTCGGGTTTACTGCTTGAAGCATAGGGAATTCTGTAGGTACAGTTTGCTATAGTGATTACTGTAGGTGCAAACTCCTTTAACATTAAGCAAACTCTGAAATTTGCCCATAAATTTTCTTTGTGGGTTTGGTATGATTCTCAGAACAGCCCACGATTATATCCTCAAAGGGTATTAATTGCTTATCTTTATAATAGAGTCGCGGAGTGTTTTATGCAAGTGTGGACTGAATTTTGAAGGATGTTTAAATAAATTTCTGGCTTCAAAAGTCAGTCCGCCTCTCAACAACTTCAGGCAACCAGACACAATACAGAATATATTTTGTTAAGAATTGCATTAGTCAAGATGGTTGTGGTAACATAAATGAAAGCTACATTTTTTGTAAGTTAATTCTTATATGTCCATTACAAATCTGGATTCAAGCTTTTTCCATTGCGTCACAGTTGAATGAAATAAATGTTGACTCCTAATCGTATTATTTAACTTCTGAAATTTTATGCGTTCTTATCAGTTTAATCAATCATATTTCGAGAAAAAGATATTTTAATAGTGAATAATATTTATTCTGTTTAATTAATTTAATTATTTAAGATTGCGTAATGACTGGTATATACGTTCATGTGCCTTGAAAACAACAGATGGTAACTTAAGAACTGCGTGTTACAACTTCTTGACCGTCATTTTTACGATCAGTGAATCAGATGCAGTCAAAAGCAACGTAATTCGTATATTTTATAGGAAAAAGTGTAATATAAAGATTGTTGTCTTCTGCGATGTGGTGCCGTGTAGATATTGTGTTAACCGACGTTTCGGAGGAACGTATCGCCTCCATATTCAGGGTATAAAAATCGGCGAGCCAGGAACCAGTGTGAACATGTGGCTGCAGATTGCTCTCGCTGGTTACTTAATCGCGGATTTTTCTACCCTGAAGATGGAGACGATACGTTCCTCCGAAACGTCGGTTAACACAATATCTACACGGCGCCGCATCCCAGAATACGGCATTCATCAGTCACCGCCGTGAAAACCTCAGCTCTTAGAAGGTGTAATATGTTTGGGCTATGTTTTTAATAATGCTGCTTTGATTTTTTCAGTATTTTTAAGAGATGTATTCATATAGTGATATAGTTTGTAGCTGTCTACAGTTTCGTAAATACAATTATTTACGCGAGGCTCTTTATTTTGCTGTCACTTCAAAATATTCCTATCAGGTCACGGTTAAAACTAAATTTCCATCCTGATCCTAACGAACATGTCACTAATTGTCGTAATACATTGTAATACGTATTGTAAAGAAAACCTGTCTAAAATCCAAAATTTCATCAGTTATATTGCTCACCGCTTCCTTGTGAACTGCTTTCATTCTCTGTAGCACGGTATGGGACTACGAGACAGAAACAGCACAACACTCCAAGTAGCTGCATGCTTGAAGCATGAGCTCTCCTGCGCTACCAGTTCTACTCTGCGCGTCACAGTCAAGGTACAGTGAATATTTATATTCTGCTTTACCTCTCTATTACAAATTTGTGCGGTCTTGTGAGACATGTAAAAACCAAAGGTCGAAAAGAGAAAGACGCATGGGATGTGGCAAAGCTGCGTGCTTTCGCCCACACTGTTGATGTTTCTATAGTTGTAGTGGAACGTCATGCTAGCATGATTAGCATTTCGCTTACAGGATCAGGGTCTTTCCCGAGATAATCGCAGTTATACAGCCGATTAACCGATTACCATTTGTTACGTAGCGCGTTCATGGCCGTCAGAATTCCCCCATTTTACCGTATCTCACTGTGTACAGTCGAGTTCTTAACCTGACAGATCTAAATCCCATTTTAACATTTTTTTTTATTTTAAATCTACTCAATATACATAAATAGAGTAATTAGTAAAAGGGATGGGTGTGTGTAATATTGAAACAGGTATCATCCTCCGATCATTCTCTGGTGCTTATCTAATGAGATCCTCTGGCCACATTATATTTAGTCTTCTTTCTACTGCTGGTTGGTTGAAGAGGTTTCTTATTGGTTGGTTGTTGTTTTGAGTTGTCCGGTTTTTGTGTTTCTCCGCGTATGCTCTGATGACTTCTGTTACATATGGTATGCTTAGAGCATTGTGTAAGGTAGCGTTTGATACGTACCAGGGAGCATTTACTAGTTTTCTTAGCGTTTTGGAGTTGACCGTTTGGATAATTTTTGTGTTGGAAAGTTTGCTGCAGCCCCATAACTCTATCCCGTAGGTCCAGACCGGTTTGATTATTGCTTTGTATAGGATTAGTTTGTTTTTAGGAGATAGCTGTGATTTTTTGACGAATAGCCAATTCATATTTCTGGTTTTGAGCTATATTTGTCTTCTCTTAGCTTTTATGTGCGTTCTACACGTTAGTATTTTAACAATTTGAAACTAAACATGAGCTATCTCACACAGATATCATTTTTGGGGATATCTTTAGTTTCTGAGATGGTCATGGAAACAAGTATCGTCTCTCATTTAAAGTAAAGCATCCTGTAACAGGGCGTGGAGGCCCATAGGGTTGTGAGATGAGGTTCCCACATTTTCTAGAAAATCGGTTCATAGTTGGCGGTAAATTTGTCAGCCCTACGCGCCGGCCGCAGTTTACCCCCAAGAATATTCCTGGTAGTCAGTTCTGTTAGAGGCTGAGTCGACCCCAGGGCCATAGTGCGGCTGGAAAAATTAGGTCAATTGAAAAAATTTAATGATCTAATCGGGATTCGATCCCGCGCCCTTCCGACTTGCAGCATAGTGCCTCTAACTACTCTAATGTGTGCCCCCATCGTATCTTCAAAATTTCTAAATTGCGCAGTTGCTAGAGGCATAAAGTAACGAAGGTATTTCCATTTAGAGAAATATATATATTTGTTTTTTCTGTGGCGCTACAGCCCCAATTCGGGCCTAGACCTACCTCCATGAAACTCTCCGTTTCACTTCGGTTTACTAGATCTTACACATACGGTAGGACTCCTTGGGCGAGTGATCAGTTCGTAGCAAGGTCTCTACCTGTAGACAAACACAGAAAAAGGCACACAAACATCCATGCCCTGAGTGGGATTGGAACCCACGATCCCGGCTTCCGAGCTAGCGAAGACAGTGCATGCCTTAGGCCGCTCAGCTACCGTGGCCGGCATATATATATATATATATATACACGCACTATAAATCTGACTGTGTGTACGCTGATTATCGTCTGTTTCTCGTATCTACTTCAAGCTGTGAGAAAAGTCAGCAAAGCACAAAACCCTAGTGGTGGGGAGTCTATTTGGAACTAAGTGAGACGAACCAGTAGAATGATGAAAAAAAAACTGTAAAATATGGAATTTTATAATTAATAACATTTGCCTAATATTGACATGACGGTGCTACTGAGTCACGAACGACGAAATGGGTGGAATATGTAGTTAACCCGACTGGAATTTATCTGTAGGTTCTTCAACGGCGCTTTCAGTATGGAGACTGTACAGCGTCGGACGGTAGGATGGTGATTTGGAATGGATCTGTAAGGAAGCTGTAGTGGACTAAGCCATTTAGAATCCCGGAATTTGTCTTCAGTGGAAGAAGATAACAACGAAAACCTCAATCAAAGTAGCCGATATTCCGGCCAAGTCTCGAACCGAGTGCCTCCAGAATACAAGTCTAGATAGGTACCTCTAAGCCAACCTGTTCAGTAATTGAAGTTCTTCGTGACTTTCGTTCCTGAAGGCTTTCCTGTAGATTGTCCGGATAGCACTTCAAAACGTGTTTCCTTATATATTGTACCATCAGTCATTATGAGTGTTTCATCTGACGTACCACGTAATTGAAGGAGCGTTTTTAATTACGTAAGAATAAATAAAAGAATTAATAATGCTAACGAATGTTGTGGGCTTGAATATCCACTTTTTCCTCGTATTAACGAACTGCTCTTGACAGGAAGACGACCTCAGTATTTCCACGGTTCTCCTCCCCCTCTCGCTAAATGTTGGAAGAGTCTCAGTTTCTGAGATGTAATATTCCAGTTAGGAGCAAAGAAGAAATGCCAAGGCCGAACTGTCCGCACAAGTGCGTCGTATTCATGTGGTCTTCTGCACGAGTCTCCGCCCTGAGGTCGGATAAACATACTAAGGACTCATCAATTCCTGCAGGCAAACGCTGGCCAGTAGCTCCCACCACTTCTTTGTCCATTCAGTATTCATAATTGTTGTCACATTCGATGATATACAGTTATTCAGCTTACAGTATATCGCCATAGAGAAGAAAATAAACGTAATTGCCTTGTCACGCATGTCTTTCTGTTCTCCAGTAATATTCCACAGCGGTGAACAACGTCAGCTTCTTATTCAGTGATGTTACGTGATTAAATTAATAACGTGATATTTAGATGTTGTTGGGTGGAAAAGCCCGCTGCAATTCGGTGGGAGGTAATTTCTTTCATACCTTCACATTTAATTCCTTTCCTTTGTCCCTTCCACACATTTATCTTGTTCCATGCTTTTTCCGTTAAATAGTCAATAGAGTTAAATTTTTGTCCTTCAGACGCCAAGGTTTCCAGAATAAAACTTCCGTTTTTGCAAGTACATAAAACTACTACGGCGTGAGACCATACACACATAGTCAGATAACACGTACACAGTCATGAAACATTTCTCATTATATGCATACATATGGATAAATGTAAAGATAGATGGATGGATAGATAGATAGATAGATACATACATACACGCACACTTACATATATACACACACACATACATACATTTTTTCCTTGGCACTACAGCCCCAGTGGGCCTAGGCCTACCTCCATGAACTTCTCCGTTCACTTCGGTTTTTCTTGATCTTACACATTCGGTAGGACTCCTTGGGTGGGTGATCAGCTCGTTGCAAGGTCTCTACCTGTACACAAACACAGAAAAACGCACACACACAAACTAAACATCCATGCCCTGAGTGGGATCCGAACCCACGATCCCGGTTTCCAAGCGAGCAAAGACAGTACATGCCTTATACCGCTCGGCTACCGTGACCGGCTACACACATACATACAGAGATATATAGGTAGGTAGACAGACAGATAGACAAACGTATGGGTGAATGAAAATATTTTCCATGATGTATTAAGAAGATGGAAACGTATGTCCCTTTAATTTAGGCATTACTGCGCAACACTTCTTTATATTCCACTTGAAAGTCTGGGGATTCCCATAGCTTGGGTATTTACGATGTATATTTGGCAACGTTGGAAAATACAGAGATCTTTAAAAGTACAAAAAAGACTCCATCTTATATTCAAGAACATTGCCATTACAAAGAGTAGAAAGAGACTTTTTAATTACAGCTTGTTTTGTGCTGTCTGTTCTTCATGAAAACATGGCACAGTGGGCTGCTCTCAGGTGAAGGTGTTCCCATGTTTTGGTGCCCACCGCAGCGCTCGGCTACCGTTCTGAGGATTTCGGGGTGAGATTATCAAAAACTTCAGAAAATTACTGATACTTGAGTTTTCCAGGGCGGTGAATACGAAGATCAGTTTTCTGGAAAATGACACCGTGCCCTTTAATAGGTAGGTAGCAACGATCTCGAGGAATTTTCTTCAGGGTAGAAGACGAGAGAACTTGGTTCCTCAGGGGTCTGGTACGTGTCTACTAAGCTAAATAGTGCAGCGATCCACGAGAGAGTTATCTCCCTATTTAAGAAGTTAGTGCATCTAAGAATGCCAGCGTATACCAAAAAGTAAATGATAGACCTTATGTGTTCCTCAAGATGCTGTTGAGTGGGATCTCTTGTTACCACGGCTTAGCGTGTGCTCAGGTTGCGTCAAGATTACCAGAATATGCAGAAGAGTCTCCTGAGGATCATCAGTAGAGTTTTCAACGTACAGATGAACTACTGCTCATGTATTCTGCATTCGATGGACACTAGAGAAGAAATAGGATTGCGATGGGATAATATAAAACTGAAAAGAATGAACCACTTGAAAGACATAGGAGTAGATGCCAGGATATTATTAAAATAATTAAATAAATACGATTATAGCCGGTCATGGGAGCCGAGCGGTCTAGGCGTGTACTGTCTTCACTCCCTCGGAAGCCGGGATAGTGGGTTCGAATCCCATTCAGGGCATGGATGTTTGTGCGCGTTTTTCTGTGTTTGTGTATAGGTAGAGGCCTTGCGACGAGCTGATCACCCGCCCAAGGAATCTTACCGAATGTGTAAGATCTAGAAAAACCGAAGTGAACGGAGAAGTTCATGGAGGTAGGCCTAGGCCCACTGGGGCTGTAGTGCCAAGGAAAAAAAATACGAGTATAGTTGCAGGGTGTAGGCTGGATTAATTTATGTTTGGATAGCAACAATTAGCTGCCTTATGAAGAAGATGATTAAACTTGGGTTCCGCTAAACGTGACACGGCGTCCAGGGTTAGCACAGCGAATGTTAGTTTCTCAAGGGCTCTGGTCCATAGAGTTAGAATATATAGACAGACCTTCCCCTGTTCGTGCT